CAGTAGATCCTGGTATATCTTCTTAATTTTTAAATAACATAACAATTTGAAATAATTTTATGTTTTACAATCTTATTTTTCATAGTTTTGTTCTATTCATGTAGACTAATTATTGTATATGCTAAGTTCAAGTGTGGCAATTCTTAAAGAAAATCAAATTAATAAGAAAAAAACTTTTGTGAGTTTCCAAGAGTTTCTTATATTCTTTTAGCATCACAAAAAAATATGTATTCCTATTATGGGTTAAATCTAAGTAATAACTCTATGTTATAATAGTTGAGAGTACAAATTGCAGTGTAAATTGCAGGAGGAAATGGCTAGTCTGTGTCCGAGCGGGATACCTTGCGTAGAATTAAGTGGAGAATGCTTGAAGTGCAACTTAAATTACAGTTGCAGATATGGAGCAATGTATGAGGCAAATTGTTCCGTGATGGAACATGTCGATTGTATAGTACGTAAAACTTGTGAAGAGAGAATTATGTTTTTTTCCACCTTGAAATTAAAAATTTTTTAATATATTAAATCGCATGTTTCGAGATATAATTAAATTGGATGTTTTGTTTATTATAACAGGGAGAACAGACTTTCACGAAGAAATACATGTGCCGTTACTGTTATCAAACCGACCACTGGGAGCATCAGTGCCATCAGAAAAATTCCTGTAGCTCAGTAGCGTCTCCTCAGCAGTATTATAGGTAATATAACATTATATATATATATATATATATAGTTTTTGTATATATTTATATACCTTATCAGTGACTTTAAATATACATTTTTTGTGAATTCTGATAGATAAATTTAATCTGTAAAGAATAAATAAAATACAACCTGATTTCTATCATAAACTCATTTTTAATGCTTTTGAAAGTATACAAAAATTTTTTCAGATTTTTGTACAGTATGAAACAATAAAAAAATCTGCATTGTAATTTGAAGATTCAGGTTACGAAACAAAGGATGAAAATTTCACATTGTCAACAGAAGAAGATGCGCGCGCGCGTGTGTATATAATAATATTATAATATTAACATTCTAATATTTTTGATGCAGAACAAATTGTACAGTAAACAATGACATACTGTGTCTGGGCAGACGGAAGTTTATGAAGAACTTACCTTGTAACTGGACAGTTGGATATCGTTGGTCTACCGCTTTGATCTTAAGCATTACTCTTGGAGGATTTGGTGCAGATAGGTACTTTATGATACACTAAAATATTGAATATTTAGCATACTATTTGAAATATAGACAATCGATTAAGTATGAATTTCAAATAAAATTCTTATATGAATTGTAGGTTTTACTTGGGACACTGGCAAGAAGGTATTGGTAAGCTTTTTAGTTTTGGTGGACTAGGTGTGTGGACTTTAATCGACGTAATATTAATCTCTATGAGATATTTAGGCCCCGCTGATGGCTCTTTGTATATTTAGATTATTTATGAATTTTGTAAATATCGATATCAGAAGATCTAAGTCTTATTTTTTACTATAATTTATGGTAGTCGTTAAGAATGTGTTATATTTGTTGAACTAGGTACAAATTAATGTGATATATGTATATACATAAATGCGAGCAAGTCTTTTATAAAAATGAAGTTTACATTTGTTTAGCCATAGACAATAACTGTCAACATTTTCACATAGATTTAGCGTTGTTTCATTAATGTTTAATATAATCTCTGTATAAAATTCTTAGAAGAGAAGAAAGCAAATGTAAAATGTTGGTTTTTGTAGAAAATTATAAAAATATATATGGAATAATTATATGCAATATTTTTTCTGTTAATAAAAAATATGTATTTATAGATCATAACAAATGTTATAAAAAATATGTATGTTAATAAAAAATATGTATCTATAGATCATAACAAATTCTAATTTAATTTTTATTATTTAAAAGAAAATGAAATTAAATTATGATATTTTCGATTCTTATATTTAAGACTCTTAAGTATATTCAAAATGTCACGAACCAATCGAAGGGTCATATTAGCATTTTAAGACTACTTAAAACGATCTTATAATAAGAATGGACTATGCATACTAGTCTTAGAGATAAAGTACTTCAATACAAGATCTTTTATGTTGAAGATCGTTCAGAATAGATTAGAGAATTTGAAACATTTGTAAATTTAACATAAGCAGTAGCAAATATAAAATGTAGATTTGCTTACTGTGTACTCTAAAATTTTTAGAGTAAGTCTTATCTTATATGCCCTTCTTTTTCAAGACTGGTTCAATTTTCACTCTTTAGTACGAGATTCCATTCTAAAGAATTTATAGAGTATTATTCTATCCTTGTTACTCATTATCTATTAAACAAGGATAAAGTAATATATATTATGCTCAAATTTGTTCAATATGTATTTTACGGAACCGAACTAAATCAGCCACTAGAGGACTGTTAGCCCTGGCTGTTAGGCTATGTTAGGTTTGTGGTTAGAAGCATCAGAGTTTGTGTTTAAGAGTGTATCGGTGTATATGTAGATACACCTGTGGTCGGTATATGATAACATTATTAATCTAAGAAATACATTAGTATGACAGAAGCATTGTTAAGAAAATTTTTTAATATTTATTAACTTGAGACGAGCAACTGTTCTTTGCGAGGAAACAGACATCAATATACAGGAAAATTTAATACGTGGCTTTCTACATAACCTACGTTTATTAATACGCTATTCAAAGAAGTTTATACAGATTCAGAAAAAAAAGTTGTACACGGTTAATAAATATATTATGGGATTTAAGTATCTGTAGTCTTTAATCACGCTGATTTTATTCGGGCGTCAAAATGCCTACGGTAATAGCGTTGGACGTCTCTCTCTCAATGAGGAGACGTGGATCTATGATTGGGAATGAATATTCGCCAAATTATGAATCATTGACGCGGCATCAATTAGCGCTGCATGGCATAAACACTCTGTTACACTACTTACAAGTTAATTCAAAGTTAGAATTTGTGTCAGTGGTAAGAACAGACTAATATGATGTCAGATAACATATTTATTATAATAGGTATATTAATACATGTAAACTTAATAAATTTCAAATTTCAGATTGCATTTTCATCATTGTACGAAGTAATTTGCCCTTTTACTCGCGATTATGAGGGCATACGCAGCAAGTTACGAATTATCGATGAGTGTGACAAGACGTTTATTGAAGGAGCATTACATGGAGTTAATAATGTAATTATGGCGGAATGGGGTAATGCCACGGCTTGCCAAGTGATATTAATTACAGATGGCAATCCTGGCATAGGACCGATGTCTTTAGGCAATTCTTTAAATTCTTTAAATTCTTTAAATGTCACACAAGACGTAAATCCCTTTCCCCTACCTTTTCCATATCCAGGAAAATTAAGTATAGTTTGCATTGCATCGCAGCAAGGTGAGTTGAAACGCGAAAAAATATTTCTATTCATTTTTCATATTTAAATATATCTTATATTTAAATATATCGCTTATATCATGTTTGCAGATCCTAGTTTACAGACCGGTTTACCTCTCTATCAGCGTTTAGCTGACCTAGCTGGTGGTGACAGCATTGTATTAGTTCCTGAATCACCACTCAGCAAACATTCCATCATGACTTGCTTCCAAAAGCTAGCGGAAGCAAATTATGTTTCTTTCCAAGGATACTTAAAGTGTGGCCATTTAGGCTCCCGTATTTTATTATCACCAGCCCCTATGGTAATGACACTAATAACAAACATTACGAAAGCATATGCTACATTACATATTAGATTAAACAATTATATAGACATGTGTTATATATGTTTCAGCCTTATACAAAGAAGACAGATTTCGAATTAGCTCCAGGCTTGGCAATATCAAAAACTATAGAAATATGTGGATTTATATCTGTAGGAGATGTTGGTAGCCCAAGTTCCATTTCTAGACATTTAGTATTGCCATTGACAACAGAGAAAAATTCAAGCATGCAGGGCATATCGTTAGAAGAGGAGTCGGATACCGATGAAAATGAAGATGAAGGAAAAATGCCATCTTTTTGTGTGTTGCTTCATGGAGCATTAAAGGTAATGTCTTACTAGGAATCTAAAAATTATTTGAATGTGATTAAATCGATAATTGATATATTTTGCAGGTAGAAAACATGGCAGCCCTTTGTATGTTGAATAACGAATGGTATGGATTTATATATTCTTGGGCGGATACAAAGAAGAAATCAAACTTAATGCTAACAGTGTTAGAACCGGGATCTGACGTTGTACCGTGGTTAGGCAATTTTAGTAATTTGGGTCCGTTAGATACAGTTAAAAGTTCTCCAGTTAGTTTTCCAGTTAGACCAACTGAAAAGAGAAGCTATACACAAAATGCTCCTTCATGGATTCGCCAAGTTGGCTTGCAGTCTGATATTCAAAAAATATTAAGACATGCGAGAAAATTACCCGACAAGACACAAAACTTTTACAAGGTAAATTAGATTGATCAAAAGAATAAAGCAATTATATATGATTTAAATGATAAAATTTTTATGAAATGATTATTTTTTACGCATACAGGAGGTAAATAGATTACGACGTGCAGCAGCATCTATAGGATTTATCGAATTATTAGAAGGATTAGCGTGCATTTTAGAGCGAGAATGCACATTGCTACCACCGAATCTAAATCCTGACTGCACTATCCAAATGGGGCATGTTGCATCGATGATCAGAAAGCCAGAATTTCATGAACTTAGATACAATATTCCACCCGCACGAACGAAATTTCAACCTGGATCATAAATTGCAATGCACAGTAATTTGAATGTTACTATATTTATATCAAGGCTGGACATTCATACAGCAAAAATAAAATTTGTATTTGTTATAATCTATATCCCATATTAATATCACATTACATCATTTATATTAAGTACTTCTATGTTCTTAACCTTTTTTGTTTTTTTTAGATGTATTATGTCATATATATATATATATATAAGAAAATGTATATAGACCTTAAACATACACTATCATTCCTTATTATTAATCACTTAACAGCTTAGATTAAAAATGTTAACTCAATTCCAAATTTCTTATTAAGTAACACAAAATTTCATATAAACCGTTCGCAGTTTGTTTACTAGGATATTTGTCAAAATCTGGAACGTGCACAAACAGAGTCTTTGTTGGCTCAATACAGAGTGATTGATAAAATATATATTCACACAGATATCTGCCAGCATTGTCCGACAGACAAGATTTGCATCCGCTTCTTTTGAAGCTTTCATTCACATTATTGCAAAGTTCTCTAACATCTATCTCAGTTTTCAAAACTTTACACTCGACATCTGTTTCATCAGGGCATTTATTATATATATCGAATCTGTTGTAGCCATTGCTGTAAGCATGTTGCTCTATCGTTAAAGATTTAGCTTCATGTGATACACCCACATGTAGGACAATCTAAAACAATAGAAATAATAAATATTAATTAAAATATAAAATTTGCAATACAATCAATGAGAAAGAAAAAATCAACGGTCAATAACGAACCAAAATTGATTATTATAAAATAATATTAATAAAATTGATTCATTAATAAAAATATAAAAATGTTTTTTTTTTTTTATTCTATTATAAATCTTCAATAGTTTTTCCCTTAATTTAACGTATTGACAAATCTATTTAATAAAAACAGGACAATGCGATATAAACTGAGATAGCATTTTTCGTACAAAACAAATAAAAAATATTAATGACATTAAATGTTAAATTGAACGGGGAAAATTAATGAAAATTTCATAATAGATTCGAAACGTTTTCATATTTTTATTAACACATGAATTTTACTAATATTTTATAACAATCAATTTTTGCTCGTTTGGCCTTCTCTTTTTTATTGAAATAATAAATATTTATTGAGAAATTGTATACCTACATTACGTGTGTGACACTACTTACCGAAGGATTGTGTTTCTTCCAGAGCTGAGGAATATGATCAGATACGTAATTGTACGAAACTGGAATTTTTTCAACAACCAATTTAACGTCGGAAAATTCCACAGAATTCTTCCACAGTTCCTGCAATTCCTTCACCGCCTCCCAGCTGGCGTTCACTGTGTGTGTACTGAATGGACCAAATCCAGTCACTAGGATTGTACATTTGGCATTGACGTCCATTTTATAAATGCAATATTCAATAATCTCGATGTTCGAATCTACTCTGGTTAACTTGAAGATTCAGATTTATTTATAAGATGCTTATGAATGATTTCTCGGAGCACTATCGCGTAGTGTTCCTATAATAATGTATCATTACAGGTATACTACTACGCGTGACTGACACCGCCTTAGAGATTCGCAAATGATAACGCGAATCACATTGAGCGTGTTTGCTCAACGTTCGCGATATAATTGACATCGCTAGAAAGTTTCGCTCGAACATTTATTGCATACTAGTAAATTTATAAATCTATAAATATCGCATATGGGATGCATATCAAACAACGTCCAACGATTCGTCTCTGTCATATTTTACGATTTAGACTAGAGTCTATATCATATATATTTGTAAAAATGATTAAATGTCGAGAAAACGGGGGAAGAAAAATATTGCATTCTAGGGTGCGTTCAGGAATTGCGCCCAGATAATTCTAATGTACTCTTTTATTATAGTATACGTAATATAGTATAACGTAAATTAGCCTGGGTTATCCGAGCGTAATTCCTGAACGCATCCCTGTGTAATCAAATACTCGCTTTGGTGCAACATCTACAATGTGAAACGAGTAGAAGTACATCCGACGTAAATCCGATTACTGGCATTAATGTATTTATTCATTCTTTCGATTATTTCGAATTTCGACTTCGAGAATCGCATAGCGTTGTTTCTCGATAGATTTAAAACCGCGAAAGTCAAAGTCTGAAAGTGAAATGTCTGCGTGTGAACTGTGAAATATAGACGTTTAAATCGTGATACTATGACTTTTTAAAAATCTATAGAAAGAAAAAGAGAAGTACAATACATAGATTTAAATAAACTGTACACATCTTTATAAAATACGATATCGAAGGATAGAGATATGCATAATCAAATATTTTTTCTATTCTACAATATAGTGGATATTTTTCGACAATTTTTTTCTTTCATATTGAAATCAAGACAAACATATTAATATTCTTCATTAGATATAGATAGAAAAAAATATATATTCATATATGTACACCGTAACAACACTTAAAAATAGATTCCTGAGATCTCAAAGAAATACACAGACACATATATCTCATTACATAAACTAAATCTGTAATTTTAATTAAACAAAATTGATTTCTTAGAAGAGTCTAAAGATAATTATACATAATATACATATGTATACATATATAATTTTACGCAATTATTAAAATTACAGATTCGATTTATGTAATTATATATATATATATATATATATAAAACATGTATACAGGGTATCCGGTAAGTTTTACCAAAGCGCTTGTGTGTAGATAGTACGGACTGATTGTGAGTCGAAAAGTCCTCTAACCTTTTGCAATTTTCGCAATAGTTAACAAGATATTAATACAATGAAAAAATAACGGCAAAATACAAATGAGCGTTAGAAGCCAGCGCTGGATATTATATTACGCAATGCTAACTATACCTATTAATATGTCACAGATTCAATTTTATATATTTCGGTTCACTCTATATATTTGAGCCATCCTCAGCAATAAAAAATTATCGCTTATTGCACTATAAAATCTGTCGAACTGTGTCTCACACAATTGTAGTTCCGACCTCCAATAATGCAGTTGTAGTGGAAATGTGGTGAGAGACAACCATCTTCAACATAGTCTAATGTTGTGCCAACCAGCTCTTTTATAATAATGTGAATTATTATAAAATATTATTTTGTATGCATATTGTTTAGTATATTTTCTTCTTTTTAAATAATTATTCTTTATGAATCTTTAAAATGTGCAATTTTATTGAAAACGTTTAATAAAATAATGTTATTTAAAATTTTTACTTTTTAGAAATACTATCATAAGCTACTTCACGTGCTTAAATTTAGTAATTTTAATTAAAGTGTAAAAACACTTTGATGATCGCGCGTTTACATAAAAGAAATAATTGGATGAAATTATTCGGAGTTAAAGAATATATAATTTTTTTTATACATAACTGAAAGTATAACATGGAAAGTAAAATTATGCATATTTAGTTAGGAGTATGCGTTTCGTATTTACGCTTATATGCTGTAAACATTTCATCCTTATTGTGTGTATCTATCAAATATTAAACAAGAACAAATGATATTTTGTAGCGCTGTACACACCTGATACAGCGCTGTAAGCATCAAACGTACTCTTAAAATGTTGTTCCTCAATATAATTAAAATGTTGATTTAATTAAAAAATGGTTTACAGAAAAGTTACTAATTTTGAGCACTTTTCTATAAACGCAGTGTG